TTCCAAGATGTTCCTTTAATGTGTCTCTAAACGGCAGCCAGTGACTGGGCTATGTAGGACAGTGATTAAGTGCCTACCTGGAAGGTTAAAGAGTGTGTTGAGGATGTAGAAGCGTTCTGTGTCATCACGCTGGATAAACTTGTTGGGATAGAGCTCTCGGGTGTCAGGGCTGGCAGGGAACACAGGAACATTATGAGCACATACTCCATAGGTTTCATTAGAGTTCAGTGACCAAGACCATAAAGGCAGGGCTTGACGGGGGCCGGGATTACTCACCCTCGCAGGAAGTTAAAGCCATGGACACAGACCAGGATGTTTCCATAAGCATCTACCTTCAGGAGGTTGCCATACATGGTGTCAAACACCAGACCTCTGTAAAAACAAAAAAACTAAATATAGGGTTAAATGTATTATTCATCCTATAAACATAATATAAAATTATAGTCTTGGTACTGACAACGTCTCGACAACGTGAAAATGTCTCAAATATGGTCTGCCAATGAGAGTTCATTACCTTGTAGGGAAAGTGGGGTCGTAAACAAATCCGAGCAGTTCCTGCGGGTAGCCAATGGAGACCAGCCTTTCCACAGTCAGATCAAAGCCCAACGATTCGTATTCAGGTGACTTGTATACTATTGATAGAGAGATATTCAGTAAGATATATTGAACAGGACAATTAAAATAAACCGACTACTATAAAATTCCATCTGTTAGATCATGTAGTCTTGTAAAATTAAGATTTTGTTCCCCATTTTAGTTCAGTTGTGGCCACATTGTTCTAATTAGTTCCCTCATTTTAGCTTCATTGTGGCCCCTTTTTACTAATTAGTCCCTTAGATTTAAAGGTGCCATAGAATGGAAAACTGTATTTAGCTTGGCATAGTTGAATAATAACAGTTCTGTACATGGAAATGACATACCATGAGCCTCAAACACCATTGTTTCCTCCTTCTTATGTAAATCTTGTGCATTCAAAAGACCACTGAAAAATAGACGAATCAGAACATAACACCGACTGTGACGTTACAGTCGGGATCACTAATAGTTACGCCCCCAACATTTGCATATACCCACCCATGTTCTAGGCCAGCCGGACCTGCACAGCCAAATCATCAGAAGTTCTGCAGGTTTTGTGAAGAAACAAGCGAGGACAACAGCGAAAATGGCAGATCATGGAAATAAATGTTATGTTACAGGCTGTGCAGGGGATGTGAAGTGCAGGGATGGGTTAGTGTCTGTATTCAGAAAGGCACGGAAAGCAAATAACGCGCCACTAAAGGGACATGGTTAGCTGCTTGCTAGCAGTAGCCTGTTACATTACAGTACATAAGATTTCACTTACCACATAAACAGAGTAAGGAGAGATGACTGAGGATGATGGCGAATGATTTGCAGATCCTGAGCACCACTGAAAAGCATCTAATCTTGTAAAATGTGTGGTAAGTACTGCCGCTGTAGTTTACCCAGCCCATGCGATCGCAAACCTCGAAAGTGAAAGTAAAACGCGATCGTGCATTCGCAAGCAGTTTCAATGCCCCGCATATTAATTGCGGCTCCCTGATGTCCGCATTTTATATACAGTATAATTACCCAACAATATAACTGCGAGAGAAAGTATTGAAATATATATTTTCCCTGTGTTTCCTTCCTGCTGTGTGAGCAACTGAAATGAGCTGCACTGTGAAACAGCCAATCAGAGCAGAGCTCAACATTGAGCCGCACTACGAAACAGTCAATCAGAGCAGAGCTCAACATTATTATTCATGACCTTTCCAAATAAGGTAAAAACCGACCATTTCATTCTAGGGACAAATCCTAGGGTTGTAAATGGACATGTAAAACCTTTTCTGGAGATTTTTTTCCCTTACCTAAGCCACATACCTTCTATGTAGATATCAGAGAACAATTTTAAATATTGTATCAATGCATTCTATGGCACCTTTAATTTACTTCAATTGTGGCTTGAATTAGTATAAAAGGGAATGAATTACTACAATGTGGCCATTGTTTAACTAAAACAAGAATCCCCTTTGTGATCTGCCATATTTCTCTGCATGCCATGTACACTCCTAAAGCACAAAACCTTAAAGGTACATTTTAGTTTACCATTAAATGGTACATATTAGTATTTTAAAGGTGCATATTAGTACCTTTTGAAAAGGTACCACCCCAGAGACAGTTTTGAACCTTATTTTCCTCAAAGTGTGCAGGGCTCTGTATTTTGTTACATGTTAAAGTATTAGTTGCCCAAACAATTCTCCCATTTACAAACTGTTGGCGCAATGATAGATATTTTTGGCTGAAGTTACTGTAAAATCCCTCCAAGCTAAGTTTATTCTGGAAGGGATTTCAATAACAACTGACCCAAAATAAAATATAAAGATGCATACATGGCAGCGTAAGAGCTGTATTTAAAGACACTCTCTGGGAGTGCTCTGTAGAACAGCAACTGTGATACGTGTCGACACCAATCTTGTCCTTTCACAGAGCAAGCAAAGAGTACCAGAACATTCACATTACAAAGGCTTAGCAGGGCCATGTATTGCCCTGTGATCTAATCCAATATGAAACCGGACCCATTTGCCCTAAAAGATTTAAACCCAATTAGATCCCAAGCCTCTGCAGAGGGATTTGGGTGGTATTTCAGCAACAAAAGGCATTTCGCAAGACCCTCACCACAAAATCTGTTGTTCCATCCTGACACCCAACTGACGAAGAAATTAAAATAAGACAGACATGTATAGAACAACGGCTTCAGCAAAGATGGGGGTCACTAAACTAAACTAAACTCACATCACATGTTGTTGTGGAAGAGCTGGAAATGTGTTATGCTTGTTGTTGATGAGGTGGCAGGTCAAAGGGCAGAAGCCCAGAAGGATCTCTTGAGAGTATGGAATGAGAAGGAGAGGAGTGCCTCAGGGTGAACTCCTAGGTCCATTGCTAATGAAGGCTGAGACATGTTTGACCACAACAACCTGCTTGTTTTTTTTTTTTTTTTTTTCC